CAGAACGAACTCTTGTGTAGGCCTTATTTTGTTCGATTGAAGTAGACCATAGCCGGTTTTAACTGAGTATACTCCTGTCTTTGTATGGTCCCAAACATATCCATCCGGAGCAGACGAACATGAGGGTTTTAGCCCAAGTATCAGAGGTATATCGTCTGGATGGAAATATTCTCGTAAAAGTTGTGTATCCCACTCCTTGGTATCATTCCTAATAAGGGCTTGAACCGGGAGACTGGGGAGTCTGTAGACAATATGATCGGCAGGCCTAGGTGGTCGGGCAACTGAGTCAGGGATCCAGTGCTCACTCCATACTCTCGTATCTCGACCCGTACCAATCCTCTTTCGTAGTCCCGAGAGGAGTAAAGGTTTTGCTGCCATAATACTACGCCAACCATAAGAAGGTGAGTATGTACGTCGGTCTTCTAAAGGAGAGGTGTTGTAATAGTACCTCCCCTTTAGGACACGTGCCAATAATGAGTTCGGGTAATGTATCAACCGCCATAATTGTTTTGCAAGAAGTGCTAAGTTGAAATCATGGAGATCACGAAATCCTAGTCCCCCTAAATCCTTAGGGATACAGATTTCGTCCCATGATATCCAATGCAAACCTCTGCTGTTATGTTTTGAACTCCACCAAAAATTTGAATTCGTGCTTCGTAGTTTATCAGTGATGCCCTGAGGAATCAAATAACATGACATTGGATATGTCGGAATTGCTTGGGCCACCGCTTTAATCTGGACCTCTTTTCCCCCTTTGGACAGTAATCTCGAGGACCAATTATTCACTCGTCCATTTAGCCGGTCTTGTACGTAAGAAAAGACTTTGGTTTTCGAACCACAAATCTGTTCAGGTAGTCCAAGGTACATCCCCATGCCTCCTTCGGCCGAGAATCCCAAGACCTCTTTTATCTCTTGTTTCCGAAGGTAGTGTACACGGTTCCCGAAGAACATTGATGATTTTGCCGCATTTAATCTTTGTCCCGATGCTTTACCATAAATGTCTATGATGTCTATGATCTCCTTGCATTGGCTAGCTTCCGCCTTGCAGAAGAAAAGACTATCATCCGCAAATAGTAGATGGGAGGTCCTTGGGCTCGCTTGTGCCACACGAAGACCTACAATCTTCTTCTCCGCTTCCGCTCCATTNGAGAGAGAGAGAGAGAGAGAGAGAGAGAGAGAGAGAGAGAGTTCCAAAACAAAATGATGAAAAGGTCTTGGGGAAGCATAAAGGATTAGCGTGGGAAATGAAGCTCAAGAGAAAGAACACTGTTTTTTCATGAACAAAACTGACTCTCTGCTTTATTTCCATTCATGTGCTCAGTTATTCGTTCTTTTCAACTTTTACTGGAAATTGTTTGCCTTAGAATATGATTTAAATAGTCTCTTATGTTTATAACATAGTCGGTCAAATTTTGAACCCTATATATTTCTTAATGTACCAAATAATTAAAAAAAATCAAAGAGTGCTTATTCTACCTTTGTTCTTTATTGTTAAAGGAATTCATTACAAACTGTACATTTATCTGAAATAAAGGTCCTACCTGAAATTAATGTGGACCGTGTGTTTTACCATTGATAGCTTTGGTCATGCGTTACATAGAGAGAAAAAGTAGCATCCATCACTTTTAAATTTACGTACTTTTTCTCATAAAGAAAAACTAAAATATAATAATACACGTGCAAGAATATTTGTGTGTATACATGTTCATGCCAATTTGCCAACAAAGACTCAGCTATCGTATATTAGATTTTATGTTAATACATTATTTTGCGACACACTATATGAAAATGATAAGAATTGTGTATGAACATTTTTTAGACTCGCATGTATCATCTAAAAATTAAGAAATATAATGAGTTTTCAACATTTTCACTATTTCATTTCACGTACATCAATGTAGATAAGCAAGTACAAATGCTTGGATTCTACCATTTTACTCTGTAATGTAAATATTGTACCACCGATTTGATTACCACAAATTTTGTAGATCATTCCTACTAATAACAAAAAATAAGTATATATTATTTTAAGTAAGAATTAATTTTAGAAGTTAACTCTTATAAAATATTTTTTAAAAGTTTATTAAGAGAATCTCCAACCCAAAATCTTATTTTAAGGGAAATAAAACCTCAAAATGAAGATTTGAGGTTGAGTTGCTCTAACCATAAATCTTAAAAAAATCCTAAAATTTTATTTATTTGCATTATTGTCTTTGACATTAACAAAGTTACTAATAATAATAAAACTTTATAAATACATATAAACATATATTTAATACATTATACAACACATAATATTATAGTATTATATAATAAAAGACAGTATAAATTACATATATAATAAAATAATACACATACACACAAATTTTAGAAAGTTACATATAAAATACCAAATCATTCAAGTATTAATTTTTGTAATGTTCTCATATGTATTTATGTAATTTATTTTAATTTGTGTTAAGTTTTTAATGTATTTTTATTTTGTATGAGCTTTATTTAATATATCTTACTATTATGTGAATTTTATTTTAATGTTATGTAATATTTATTATATTTTAGTTTATTTTTGTGTAACTAAGGGACTTTAAATTAAGTTTTAGTATATGTATTTATGAAAAGTACTAAATGTAAAGACCACAAAGAAAAACAAATAGTTTTGAGATTATGAACAGTTAAATTTCAAATTTGAGGTTTTACTATTCACAATCTCAAAATTTGAAAATTTGAGATTAGATTAGAATGATATAGAATTTTAAAAATTTGAAGATTTGAAGTTCGGTTAGAAATTCTTTAAGAGATTTTACGATGAAAAATAGGTGCGAAGTAAAGCAAAAGAGCTTTTTGATTGCAAGCTTGAGACTAAGGTCATGATGATACGGCCAGTCTTTTTTGAGTCTTTGGTCGGTCCGACAATCTGTGTGTTTTGTGTTCACTCTGTGTTTTTTTTTTTCTAATTTTCTTTTTGCATTTAGTTATTTAAAAGTTCTAGTGTTTCTTAATTCTCCCATAGGGGATGTAATGTAAAGTAAATCTGGACCGGTCATTATGAAATAAGACAATATTAGTTTTGCTTTTCTATTTCTCTGATAACTACACTCAGTTGAGCTTTCCGTAAGTTGAAAGCAAAGACGACTTGAAGAGTGACTTTCCAGTTGCACACCATTCATACATATATTAATCTGTTAAATAATTATATTTTCGAAAGCCTAGAAGTTGTAAAAGGTTCATCCTTGTATCAGGGCATATTAATATATATTCATCTCTAGATTTATAGATGGATCTGTATAAACCCCATCTCTAGAGTTATGTCATGTAAAAACTTTGTCAATTCTCATAAATTATACTAATTGTGATTATAAGACAAATTCACTATTGGCATTAATTAGACACTGTATTTGCAAAAATGTATATGACGTTCTTATAACTTTTATATATATGAAATCTCACAAATTATCAGTGTAACAAAAACAAAATATGATTACTTTTACGAACTCAGGCATCGAGCTAGAATTATTTTTTGTTTGTTAAGGAAACCACTTGATGCGATATTGCGATTATATAACAACTGTCTCAAACACTTACTTAATCTATCAAAAACATGCACATACAGTCACTCAATCGCTTGTCTTTTAACACTGATCATGACTAATCCTGGACAAAGTCTCATGAAACATTAGTTTTGGACCCTTAAATTTTTTTAAAAATTACATATAAATAAACTTTCTCAGTTTTTTTGTTTTTAGATTCTCAAATCCATAAAAAAGATAATTATAGATGAATCATTAAAAATTTGTCTTAGACACCCTAATTTTCAGAGAAGGGCCTGACATGATTCACAAGCTTTTTAATGATTTTACTTCAAGAGCGATAACAAACGCACGTAGGTTTTTGTGCGAGTGAAAGTCTCTAAATTGCTCATGTAACCAATGAGTATAGTAAATTACTAGTATTATTTACCTTTCTGAATCAATTAAAAGTTGGAGACAAACTTAATTACATAGTTAGACGTCTAGGCGTTTCGTGTTTCTCCTAGTATGATAATTGAATTTTGATGCTCGTAAGTTTAATTCAAGCCTACCATTCTTTCGTTTTTATAAGTTTTGCATATAAGTTCTTCCCAAATTTTTAATGTTCTTTATATTGCTAGCACCTATATGTTTACGAGATAGGATTAAATAAGTTGATTTATACTATATCCACGCTTTTACATGAAGATTCATTTGATATCGATAAAGCCCATAGTTTATCACATCTTGTAAAATATCAAATGCAATTATCTAGTTTTCTTAGTTTTTTTGTCCGGGAATATAACGATTTTGATTTGGTAGTTAATTTGTACTATGTTATTCGATCAATGCAAAAGCAACAGAACACTGTTCTACAAAATGCTATGTGCTCTCTACTAAGTAATAACGTAGTGGTCTAAATGTCTAGTAGACATACAATTTTAATATTATTTATAACACATTTTGTTAAGTACGTATGCAAGTAAAAATATAGACAAAATTTTATTTTTAATATAACCCAAAGTTAATCTACAAATTAATATCGACAATGAAGTATTAGAGCATCTCTAACCTCACTGCAAAAAATAAATTGTGAGATGGAGTGAAAAATATATTCATGAACAAATAAAAAAATATTACTAATATTTGGAATAATGTCTTATTTGTTTGTTAATGTATTTTTGCAGTGGGATTGGAAATGCTCTTAGATCCAAATGTGTAAGATAAACGAGAGATAATCTAAAGAATCTTAACCCATTAACCTTTTTGCTTTTATAATAATCCCACCACAACACAAGGTGCAAACTCTATATATCCTTCGAACCATATATATACAAACGCACGTAAATGCTCCTACATATATCTACATTTGAAAACAAGCTTTTGTCGCTTTTTAACTCTTTCAACTCCTATCTTCTTTTACAATATATAGAGAGAAGAAGAGGGAAAAAGAGTAGAAAAATGGAGACTTTTAGGTCATCATAGAAACGAGTGATGTGCGCAAAGAAACAAGAAGAAGTAGAAAGTTCAGAAGCCATGAACAACATACAAAATTACCAAAATGACCTCTTGCTCCACCAACTCATCTCCCATCATCATCATCACCAAGATCCTTCTCAATCCGAAACTTTCGGAGCTCCAGGTAACAACGCCGGATCCGGATTCACTATCTTCTCCCAAGACTCAGTTTCCCCAATATGGCCTACTTCGGCCCAACCACCGTTTGATCAGTTTCCTCCTCCAACATCTCTCTATGGGAGTTTCTTCAACAGAAGTCGAGCTAATCATCAGGGATTACAGGTAGGTTACGAGGGTTTTGGTGGAGCCACGTCAGCAACACATCAACATCACGAACAGCTTCGCATATTGTCAGAGGCTTTAGGTCCAGTGGTGCAAGTTGGGTCGGGTCCTTTCGGGTTACAAGCTGAGTTAGGGAAGATGACAGCGCAAGAGATCATGGATGCTAAAGCTTTGGCTGCTTCAAAGAGTCATAGTGAAGCTGAGAGAAGACGAAGAGAGAGAATCAATAATCATTTTGCTAAGCTCCGTAGCATATTACCAAGCACCACCAAAGTAAGTCTTTATATTTTTGTACATCATCAGTCTCACATAGATAACACATTCATGACATGATACATCCAAAAAGAGAATTTTAATAAAACTATATTACAAAAAAAGGAAGTTTTGTTTCATCTTTAATCTTAGGTTTAATCTTCTTAGGAATTAGGTTAAACCTAATTATGTATTTAAGGATCATTTTATTTTTGTTTTAGGATTCTTAGATAAGAATATGTTTTAAAGCAACTGGGATTCAAGACTACTTGTATCATATGCCATCTCTTATGATATAAATTCACATAGTTAACAAAAAAAACATGTAGAGTTGAAATGAACAAACATAGCAGCTCTGACATGAAAGTTCATGTCACATTTTGTCTCTTTGTTTTTACGTTTTTTATACATTTAGGTTTTGTATGAGAGGAAGTAAGTTATTCAAAGGTCTTCTCTTGAATCATGGATCTTCCGGGTACTTGTTAAATTCCCGAGGAGAGAATCAGTCAGAGACTGTAGAATAAATTAAAAAAAGTGTGGGGATATGGAACGTCAATGTCGCTTCTTGGTTAAGTTGATGTAATAAAGAGAAACAAACGGCGCTGCTTAAAAAGAATAAAAGCAGCAAAAAAAGCCTTATTACCGAACCAAATCATCACTTCTCCGACCACATAATTTTTTCTCCTCGATAATAACAATTTATGTTTTGTAATTATGTAATTTTTTTTTTTTTTTGGTATGCAGACTGATAAAGCGTCGTTACTAGCGGAAGTGATTCAACACGTGAAAGAGTTGAAGAGAGAGACATCAGTGATCTCGGAGACAAACTTGGTTCCAACGGAGAGCAACGAGTTAACGGTAGCTTTCACGGAGGAGGAAGAGACCGGAGATGGCAGATTCGTGATTAAAGCATCGGTTTGTTGCGAAGACAGGTCGGATCTATTGCCGGACATGATCAAAACGTTGAAAGCGATGCGTCTCAAAACGCTCAAGGCGGAGATAGTAACCATCGGGGGACGTGTCAAGAACGTGTTGTTTGTCACCGGAGAAGAGTGTTCCGGCGAGGAGGAGATGGAAGAGTATTGTATAGGGACGATAGAGGAAGCTTTGAAGGCAGTGATGGAGAAGAGTAACGTTGAGGAATCATCTTCTTCGGGGAATGCTAAGAGGCAGAGAATGAGTAGTCACAATACTATCACCATCGTTGAACAACAACAACATCACATGTAATCAAACCTTTAAGCGTGTAGATTTCGTTTTGGATGTATCCACGTGTATGTTCTGTGGAAATGGATGTTGCACGTGATGTTATACCTAGTTATGTGTTTGTGTTTGTATGTATAACGGAAATATTTGTATCCGTTGGGGCTTGGTTTCGTTTTAACTTTTAATGACTTTCTTTGCTTATTTCGTAGATTTGGTTAAATGATTATTTTTCCTTCGAGAACGTACATGATTTATAATATCCGCCAAAAGATGATGCATGGGCTTGCAGCATTTCTGTGTGGGAAATTAACGTAGCGGACGCCGTATTTGTGTAAGAGTGCATCACTAAGACGAGATTGATTGTTATCATGTCTGGTACGTACTATTGTACCCTACTGCCATTTCATATGTCATCTAAGTTCTATCATATTTAACCAAGTAACAGCCATATTTAACAGTCCAGTAATGACTCTCCTCTTTTGGCTATTTGTAGACATCATCTTGAATTTTATTTGATCTACATGGGATATTTTAAGAAAAAAGAGTAAGGAAATCGAAAAGCCCAAACTATGCCGAACTGCGGAAATGAAGCCCTCAAAGAAGTTTCCACTGGTTTGATTTATTTGCGTATCACTTGAGTTTCACTATCAAACTTTCTTATATAATCTAAGTGTATGAAATTAAAAAACATGAATTATAAATTATGTATTTGTAGAATAAAGATAATTAGAAATATAGTTTTTTTAGAAAAAACTTATTCTTTACTATTTTTTTTAGATTAGTAAAATTTTTATCTTATGAACATATACTATTTTTATATTTTCAAAGTTCTATATGAATAATTACAACTTTTCAAATTAAAATTAGTTATTTTAATAAATAATCATAACTTTCAAATTATTGGTAGTGAATAGTCACAATCTTTCAAGTTAAAATTAGTTATTTTTATGAATAGTCACAACATTCATATTAAAGATAGCGAATAGTCACAACTTTTAGTTATTTTTATGAATAGTCACAATTATCTAATTATAGATAATTATTTTAAATAATAAATTTACATTATATATTTGAATAACTAATATATATTTGGAAATTTATTTAAACTTAGGCCTATATTATACATACTCGACTGATTAAGTTTGAATTTTTCTATCTATTATATGATATATCAAATCGAATTTTTTTATAAAAAAACAGGGAAGTGTCAAAACTTCTAGTGCCTAGTGTACATGCACTACACTAATGTAGTACGATCTCACATTTTTATATTACATCTCCTGAATTATTGGCAAAGAAGCTTTCTTTTAGTCATTTGCTTTTGAACTAGACTAAGAAAATGCCTGTCTCTCACTGTGTGTTGCCTTTCGTAATTTCCACGAAAAGATCTAAACTTTTTTCACAACCAGATCTTGAATTTGAGCTCTGTGAACAAACAAGGTTCTCCCTCCTCCGGCCATGGAAATAGTATTTTACTTTTGGAGACTCTCCTGCCATGGTTTCCTCTTCTCCTTCACGCTTCTTGTCGCTCTCAAGCTTGACCATCTTCTTTCTGGTTCATGGTGGTTAGTTCACTTCTTTCTTCTTCTTGATCCTTGCCTTGACTTCTGTTTAGTATTGCTATTGAGCGTTGACTAAGTGTAGAGACTTTTTGATCACTAAGTGATAGTTAGGCAGAGAGGCTAGGGAACTGTAAGGTTTCATATCACTTGAATCTTCTGGTGATGACTGAAGTAGAAGTAGCATCTTTTTGACCCATCTTTAGAGATCAAGACTTTTTGTTTTGGATATGCTTTCATTCTCCTTTGATTCTGTTTGTGCAGGTTTGTATTTACACCCTTGTGGTGGTTGTGTCATGCTGTGATTTCCCGTGGTAGATTTTCTTTGCCTACTCCACCAATGCCTCATGATAAGAATGTATATTATTATTACCTTTTTGCTCTTAGTTTGGCAGAGCTGCTTGTAACCTGTTTTAAGTTCTGGTCTTGTTACAGTGGGCTCCGTTTCAATATGTCATGGCAACACCACTGTTTCTTGCTTTTGAGATCCTTCTCTTTGTATATCTTGAAGATAAATATGGTATCTTTTTCCCCATTTTTATTAATACTCTGAGTAAAAGCTTATATATATGAATGGTTTGTGTCCCTCTGTTACAGCTGTTGACTTAAAGCTTATCTTCTTACCATTGCTTGCATTCGAAGTAGCGATTTTGATATATAATTTCAGGTATTTCATCAATGTTTTAAGTTTATTATTTTGGTTTTGTTCACCCTTCTTACTAGTCTGGAGTTGTTTTTTTATTTGAACCAATATTGTCTTTGTTTACTTCTGCCCTTGTTGATGACTGACATACAATTTTTCCTGCAGTGCGTGCTTCATACTAAGGCCTAGAGATGAGGAAACTCTGAGTGGTGAACCACTTCTCGTAAGTCTATATGAGCAGTTCAGACCTCAACGGTTGTTAATTTGCTTCCTTCTTACATTGTTTATTTCTTTTGTAGTACACATGGGTTTCCATATGGATGGTTTCCTTCATTGCTGCCATAACCTTCACTCTTCTTAAATCACGTGGTATGTTACACATTTACTTCACTATTTAATTAGTTTATGATCTTCTCTCCTCCAAACGAAACCCTGGAGGTGTTGTTGACGTTGCCCTTCTCATGTAAACAAGCTCAATTAAAAGATGAAAATAAAATATTGTTTAGTCCTTGTGATATCTAGTAACTGCAATGTCTATAATTTTGTAGAACCAACTGCAAATAGATTGTTTTGTTGACATCTTTTCTAGTTGTATAGGTGATGTAGCTGCGTTGGACTGGTGGGACTTTTTTATAAATTTGGGGTAAACTAGTTTTTTTTTTCTTGAAGTCTTTCTGAACTATATCCTCTTTTAGTAGTATTAACAACCTTCTTTTTTTCTCAATCTACAGCATAGCAGAGTGCTTTGGCTTTCTTGTCTCCACAAAGCTGAACAATCAGTCAAGCCATAGGTATAAATATTGTTGTCTTAATATCTTATTGAATTATGGCATATTTTACATTGACTCAACTTAGGATCGAAAAATTATAATATATAAAATTTATACTGTACCTAGCTCATCTTCTGTGAGAGTAATATACGGGGATCAGCACAGCAACAGAGAATGCAGTTTTCTAGATATTGGTGGATATGTAATGAAAATTCCATTCATTATCTTCCAATTCATCCTTTTCACAAGCTTAGAGGTACACATTTTTTAGATAAACAAGTTCATAGCTTTTAAACATGATCTTGTGTTGCACTTGTTTGAGCTAATACTCTTTTATCTAATTGTCAGGGAACACCTGCTTCTCCCAAGAACATTCCGATTGTAGTTATGTTTGTACCTCTTTTTCTGATTCAAGGAGCTACGGTTCTTTTTGTTACATTTATTTCGGTGGCCATGTCTTTCTCGTGGATTTATAGTGTTGGTGGTCCTTATGGAAAGTCTTTTGCGAGATTATTGGCTCGTGTATTCTTGAGATTGTATCAATCTTGTAAAAGGTACTTAAGCTACAACTGAGAAGTGAGAAACTCTGACTAATCATTCTCAGATGGTTAAATAACAGATTACTTGGTTACATGATATAGGTTTTTGGAGAAATCTGTATTGTTTATTTGTAGTGTTGGAAGATACTTTGCGTCATCAACGGCTCGTATATTCCTAAGAATCTTTCAACATTGTAAAAGGTACAAACTGAGCAATGGGTGTATATCTGGTGACAACAAGAAAGACTAATCCTTCTTGCATATGGGTAATATAACAGATTACTTGGGTGCTGGTCTGTCGATGAGGAACAATCTAGGCTCTACACTGGAGAAGCTACTGGGTAAAAGCTGCTCTCATCTTTTTGGTAACATAAGAAATGGCTCTTTTCAATTTTACACTATATATGTTTGGATTTTTATGTTTTCAGATACAACACATTCGCACCAGAGGTTGTGACGAAAATACCAGAGTCTGATCTTGTTGATGAGGTAAAGTTTCACATTTCTAAATCATTTCGTTTTTTGAACGTTGTGAAACTAAGCAAGATCTGGAATCTCTTAAAATCCTCACCAGGTATGTAGATTAAAAGCTGCATTGAGTGAGCAAACAGATAACAGCCAGCAGGAGAATAATCTTTGTAAAGTTTGCTTTGAGGATCCGGTCAACGTGGTTCTAATCCCATGTAGACATCACGTCCTCTGCAGGTAAAACCAACCCTCCTTCTTTTTCTCTGCCTCCTCGCTTAAAAACCATCTGAAATGACATGTTTTAATAAGTATTATTGCTATTGTCACTCAGAAAAATTTGTTTATCAAAACTAGCACTTGCTCAAACATGACTTTGTGTCATTACGTTCTGTTTTTACAGCAATATAACATGCATTATCAGTTTAAACCAGGTTTGTGACACAGACTAGCACATACCACAATACTTTTAATGTATCCTTTTAGTCTTAAATTGTATTTTAATACTTATAAAAGTGTAGAGATAAAAACATGTGTGGTTTTGATATGCTAGATTTGATATTTTACTTTATCTTTTACACCATCTTGTGTTTTCTTGAAATGCCATCTTGTAAAATGTTCATGTCGTTTTTGTGTGTTTCAGCACGTGCTGCAAGAAATGCGAGACTTGCCCGATATGTCGTGTCTTGATTACACATCGTATGCCTGTATACAATGTGTAGAGATTTCAGACGACCATGATCGAAGAAGATTGTATCATACTTTCTTATGTAGTGTCTTGATTAAGCAGCTTGTAATAACTATACGCTATCACCTGATTACATCTAGACAAAAATTAATGTGTTTTTAGCTACATAAATTTGCATGATTGACATATATCAACTAAATATGGTTATGTAAATAACATTACAGCCAAACTATAAAGTACCTTCTTCCGCAAGGACATGATTTAAATGATGAAACAAATTCTTTCGCTGTAAAAGTCTTGTGTGTATTGACAAAATCTCGTCAACCCCTCTCTGTTGTGAACATGTAATCGTCTAGATCAATGAAGAAGAATAAAAAGCTCAGTTACTCATATGATCAAAACAAAGGATAAGATTGGAGAAGATAAAGTTATACTTATGTCCACATGTGTGTAATGTCTACATGTTATAATTGTTTAACATGTCACATCTACACGGCTAAACAATAACTAGCTGTAGCAGATATAAATAAGCTTATCTATGTATTCCATGACCGAAGCTAATAGAGTAAAGACTTACATCTACTCGTTTATGCTATGATTGACTCAGTGTCAGTTAAACCGTGGAATCTCTATCACGAGCGCGGATGCTCACTTTGCAAATAACATTTTATATTTGTTGATGTTATGAGACAATAAATCTTTAAAGGGCTCTCTTTAGTTTCAGAGTCAAATAATTGTGTTTCTGTCTTTTATGCTGTATATGTATAAAATAATAAACCACACGCTAATTATATATTTGTTCTTTCACTTTCTGTCCAACTATTTATGTGGGAGCCACAAAATTGATCTATTAAATTAAGTTGGTTCTGAATTTCTGATCATTGCCTAAATATTTAATTAAGTTAGTTCTTATGGCCTAAACTAGGACACGAGATTCATTATTCCACCAGGTTTGAATTGAACTAATTAATCAAATCTGAATTTTCCCGAAGATGTGAATGGAAAATACTAGTAAATAGTGATTAACACACTTCCAACCAGAGCTGTAGATCTCAACGATGGAAGATAAGAATCCAAAATCAACGGTTGAGTTGGAATCAGATTTTTTTTTTTTTTTCTAATTTAGTATCCTGATCCCATCGAAGTGATCCAGACTAGAGACCGAAGCGAGCAAGAACACTACCAAAACGTCATCATGTGACTCACCTATAATGATCTTCAATCTCAGATGCTACAGCATATATGTAAATTCTGCAGTGGTCAAGGTTCGAACCCAAAGACACATATTCTAGCTGGAGTTTTTTACCATTAGATTAAAGTAATTTGGTTTAAGTTGGAATCAGAATTAGTAAATTTAGGATGAGATGAGGTTTGGGTCCATGCTTAGGAGTGACAATGATGGAGCTGACCTTCTTTTGTCTCTTTAATCGCGAATTTACGTCCAACTTGCATTTCATCTCCAAATTGTTGACAAAGCGCTACGTTTAAGATGCCTTACCCCGGACGATGTTTTCCTACGTGCATGGACTTTTTCTTATTCTGCAATTTCTCTTAAATTTATTTGTTCAATTATTATTATTTTTTTTTCTTTTTGAAAAGGCTTCATTTGTTCAATTATTGTTGTTCTCTAATTTCTGAAGACTTTTATAAAAAACGTTTCAATGTTTAACGGTTTTTTTTTGTATATTCTTTCAGCTTATACAAAACACTGTTATATTTTGCTAAGTCAAATTTAATTGCTGATGTTTTTTTTTGAGAAACATGGCTGATGTTTTCTTTGAACAATTTAATTGCTGATGTTCTTAATTCATTTATTTTAAACAGTTGATTAAGTTAATTTTAGAGTATATGTTCATAAACATGATTGATGTGCTATCTATTCAATCCTCCTCGTGATTTGCTTTTGTTCCTAGTGTCGCTTAACGCCCGCAATTTTATGGATGTTCTGCAATTAAAAATTTTCATGTGATTGAATGTTATTCAAGTAATTATATATTTGGATGATTATTTTAGTGACTATTTTTAAAATCATAAGTGATCATATTAGGCCTAGACGATATATATTATGAAAATATGAACACAAACTAGTGGGGTCAAGACTAATTTTACCCAAATATAATGCTTATCTTAAGAAAATATACACTGAAGTAATTACTTTATCAAATTCATGACCCCTAGTCCAATCTTGCTTCTGCTCATGTATATATTTACTCTAATAGATTGTGATGGGTATGTAACCGAAATATATAATATTGACATGAAGCTATATGAATTAAATTCATTAATTGACACATATAAATCAAAACCACATGAGTTGGACTAGTACAACAAAATGTTTGGATAATGTCGTAAACTTTAACTTTTATTAGTGAGAACAATTTCCCGGTTCACATAAATAATTAGTACGGATCACTTAAAATTCAACAAAAAACATTGTTCATTCTAGAAATAATTCTGAGTGATTATGACTGGTAAACTAATAAAAATACAAATAAATCTAGTGTAAACAAGATTTCAGAGATAATTGGTTTGGATAAGCTCAAACTCAACTTTAACCAAAGTCTCTCCCACCCAAGAGGGATATCACGCCATATCTAACAAATTGGTTCAAAGGGGAATGAACTAAAAGAATAAAGAGAGGAGAAAGATCCAGATCTTATGTGAACCCCCATCCCACTTGTTCCCCTTGGTAGGTCTGACTTACCGTGTACGTATAGTATACTAGTATGTAAGACCAACATTATTGGCAGCTCTTAGAGCATTTCTTAAGTGTTGGGGTCCCACATTTTTGTAAAACCGAGGTCAAATGTCCCTTAATTAATAAACGTTTGTGGAGAGTCCTTAACAATTCGTGAATGTTTTTCGAACAAAAGAAATAAAAAAAAAACTTTGTGCCTAAGGACTTGTGAATGTCCTAGCGATAATGTTGGTCTAACCCCGTTGGTTATTCTTCTGTACATTCTGTCTCTCTTTTTTTTATTCTCGCCAAAACTCTTGACTTGAATCTTTAATTTTATTCCATATTCTAACCCTTTTATAATTTTTTTGTCAATCATTGACTCTTCTATGTCAGTGAAACAAAAAAATACATAATTCAGCATATTTGGGTTGTTGAATAAGATATCGTTGTTGAGTCTGACTTTCCTCTAGCATCTAGAATTTGTAATCACTAGTTTCTATATCGTTTTTTTTTGTCAAAGATATTACGTCTTTAAAAGTTTCAAACAAATATGTTATCAGTATGTTCTCGTTTTCAGTTCAATAACGAGTCATCGAATATAGAAAATGCAGAATTTCGTCATCTACTAAAAATATCTAGCTGTGCGATTTCTAAATAACTACAACTACTCTCTTTTATTTTAACAAAATATTTTGATGTGATTTAGAGTTGCTAGCGTTAATATGTCAATTATGTGAATGTTTTCGAGCCATATATAGTCTTTATGGTATCCACCGATCCTTTTCCATGAAATGTCTTTCAAGAATATAAATGATTTCAAGCAAGCTGGTTATATACATAACAAGTCTAACTAAATAAGATGATAATCATACTTAATGAAGATGGTAATGTGTTATAAAAGTGTATAGGTCAATGAAATGTGGTTCTTAATAATGTACATAACAAACGTACGAGACATAGAAAAGCCGTAGTTGTACTACATATTATTCGTCTGTGCCCTTCATAGAAACTTCCTTCAAAGTTGGTTTGCCATTCTTTTAAGCGTTGACCCCACCTTCTCAATTTTCTACTCTATGTTTTTTTGTAATATCTCAATCTTCTTTTTCTTAAACCAATCAAATTGAACTTAAATAAATAGTATAATACTATATCAGATACAAATGATAACATGTACATGCACTATACCTCTAAATAAAAAGCAACAACGTCACCCAAAAAATCCCTCTCACCTAATTTGTGTTTCTCATTTTGGTCAGAATCTTCAAGAAACTAAAACAAAGAAAATGGTTTCAAGCTGCATAGACGAAAGTTCTTCTACTTCAGAATCTTTCCCACCCGCAACCGCAATCGCAACCGCCCCGAGCTTCTCTGCTCCTCCGCTTCCACCGTTACACCTCTACCAAAGCGGTGGAAACAACTTAGTGTTGGATTCAAAGAATGACGTAGAGATGGATTCACGGAAGCTGCCGTCATCAAAATACAAAGGCGTGGTTCCTCAGCCCAACGGAAGATGGGGAGCTCAGATATACATGAAGCACCAGAGAGTTTGGCTCGGCACTTTCAACGACGAAGAGGAAGCTGCTCACTCCTACGACATAGCCGCTCGTAAATTCCGTGGCCTCGACGCCGTACTCAACTTCAAGACCTTCCTCACATCAGAGGAGGACGATAACAACGAGTTATCTTTTCTCGAAGCTCACTCCAAGTCCGAGATCGTTGACATGTTAAGGAAACACACTTACGCTGAGGAGCTTGCGCAGAGCAATAAACGCAACGAAACAAATATTAATACAACTCAAACCGACACCGTTTTGAAAACACGTGAAGTGCTATTCGAGAAAGTTGTAACGCCTAGTGACGTTGGTAAGCTAAACCGTCTCGTGATACCTAAACAACACGCGGAGAAACATTTTCCCTTACCGTCAGTGTCGGTGACTAAAGGTGTTTTGATCAACTTCGAAGACGTGACGGGTAAAGTGTGGAGGTTCCGTTACTCATACTGGAACAGTAGTCAGAGTTATGTTTTGACCAAGGGATGGAGTCGGTTCGTTAAGGAGAAGTGTCTCCGAGCCGGTGACGTTGTTACTTTCGAGAGATCGACTGAATCAGACCAGCAACTATATATTAGTTGGAAAATCAGGTCTGGTCCGAGTAAAAACCGTGGTCAGGTTGTGGTTCGGCTTTTCGGAGTTGACATATTCAACGTGACGAGCAGGAAGCCGAGCAATGTCGGAAAGAGATCTCGGGATGTTGATGTGTTTGCGTTACGGTGTTCCAAGAAACACGCTATAATCAATGCTTTGTGACATTTCCTTTTTGGGTTTTATATTTTTTATATTTGTCAAGTTGTAGTAGGATGTGAATCTTATTTATGCCAAGTTAACAAAAGAGGTCAAGAGAGAGTTTTTTTTGTTTCTTCAACTATATTACTTACTGTTATATATGTATGTCAACCTCTTCTTGTTTGATACTGGTTATTATTAACCTAAGGTTTTATTGTATTTTCTTCTCAACCTCAACGTTTCACTAATCAACAAAAAAAAGCCAGCCTCCACAAATTTCCACCTCTGCAGTTCTAGGAACAAAGAAATTAAGTAGAATACATTTTTTAATAATGAAACTAGTGGTCTATATATAAGATGTTTTAAGCAAAATAACGGTTGCATCTGGATGTGTGTTAAATCTCTGTGCGCCATTAAAAATCCAATATTTGTTTGGGCCAGACATAGTCCAGCCAAATGAAAATGCGGGCGTCGTTGGCACTATTAAAATTGACATCTGAGGGTGCGGGATGCAGGCTCTTGCGATATGGTATACTTTCCGATTTATGAATATTTACTCTTTCTAGATAAACATGTATTTCTATAGGATAAAAGAAATCGGGTTTTGAGGCTGCTACAAATATGGAGTTAAGGGATTGTAAAATTATTCATTCACATAATAATATACAAATCCTAAACAAATATTGATCACAATTCATTTTGCTCTCTTTTGTTTTTTTTTCGAGTTAATTCGCGTTTGTTCACAACAATAACCATTCTCGAATTGTGATTGCCTCTAATAACTAAATCGTTTGACATGCATGATTACTAAGTGTAATTTAAAGCTTTTACATATTATGAACCACCTTTCTTTATAATTCCTTAATCACCACAAATTCATATCCAAACTTCAAAACACATAAAAGTATAAAGGATGAGAAAAAGGAAAACCGACTTCCTCTTAAAATAAACAAATTATAAGAAATATAGTTCTTTTGCTAAATGGAATGTTTTCAAGTATTAACGAATCTGCAATTTCTTCTCACTTCTCCATCGACCATACTCTTGGAGTTCAAAATGTTCCCCATCTTCACCATCGACTTGGAGAATTGCTCAAAGAAAGCCAACGGATCCTCCGCAAACTTGCTCACTATCCTCCTCGTCTGTATACCGAACATGCTCGTGTACATCTCCTGGTCCGAATTCAACAACCCTTCTCCTCTCAGGAGCGTATGGTAGATAGAGTTGTCAAAGAGATTAGGCGTTACATTATCCATAGCCGTCACGTTTCTATCACCTTCTCCACTGCTCTCCGGACAAATCTCTTGGAGTTTCGCTAGGTACGTCGCTGATAAGGGGTTTAGTGCTGTTGTCACCCTAAAATCTCCATAGATACGTGACCGGAAGTTTCTACATTGTGCCATCCCTATCGTGTGAGCTCCTACGTACATAGAGTTGTTCAAATTTTTAGGGTTTAGTGAATCGGTTTGATATTATAATATTCCGGTTTTATCACACTTTCCGGTTTATTTTGGGTTTTAGAGGAGTGAATCTTACCAACAAGAGCTACCATGTCTTCAACGGAGAGACCCTGATAATAGAATTTAGCGATGATGCTGATTAAACCCTCGTCAGGAGTTGGAAGGTTCGTTGTGGCAAGCGCGTAGCTTGCTGTCTTTGAATCTTTTCTTCCCACAGGAACGTCCCAGTAAGGCCCACCAACCTTTAACCAAAACCAAAATTAGACATATTAAATAAACACGTTGATTGTTATAACCATCTATGACTAGTAACTAGTATGTACCAGGATCGTAGCATCTCTGGCAGAAATTGTGAGAAGATCAGCGCATGAAACGACTCCAGGACATTCAGATTCGATTATGTTCTTGATTCTGTCTATAATTTTGTATCCTTTCAATGAGTTTATGTTTGGAGAAGCTGTCTTCTCGCCCTTCAATGACTCTGTTTCGTCTAGTAACACTGATCCATCGCATCCCTGCAATACAATATAAACCCTTAAAAAAGTAACCATCTGTACCACAAATTAAGTTGATTTTTCAGCTAAAATCTGTCTTGTTTTCATCAGTAATCTGACAGATATTTTGGTAACATATGCTTTGTGATTTTGGTAATAAATGAGGATAGAAAGAGGCGGGAAGATCGATTTTCTTGTGTATCAAGTAAGGTGTGTTATGTACTTACTTGGACAAAACAGTCGTGGAAGTGTAAGCGAATAATTATGGCTGCATTTCTTGGATCTTCCTTCACTATGCATTCCATTTCTTTCTTGATGACATCAAATACCGTCGGGCAAGTGGACTTGTAATAATCTAGGGTTAAAGGAAAATCCTTTCCCGATACATCAAAAGAAAAACAGGGAATAAAGATGGCATGGACGATAAAGATCACAAGGAGGAGTTTCATACTTCTTTGTCTTGAAACCCGTTTGCTTAATTTTTTTTGAGAAAATGTTAAAATGTTTGTGGGAGGTAAGGAGTGGGAGAAATTGGGTGGGACTTCAAAGAGATATATAAGTCTGAGAGAAGAGGGCATTGTAGGGTTTTAGTTTTCTTGTGCAAAAAGGGTCCTGAAAATTTGGTCAAGTGAGATGCAACTAATTTTCTGAGATGGTTGTTGGGGTTTCCTATAACCTAAAGATAATGAGATTAAAATATACTTGGACAAATTACATATTATTACCAAACCGATATCTTATATAACTATAAAATGTACTATACTCACATTTATAATATGTTTTTTTAAAGACAGAACTCCTGTTTTTGTATTTTTGCAAAGTTGCAACCATGTTCAAAACTGATTCTTGAAAAAAAATCAAGAAGTCTCGTTGTTTTGTAATTTGTTCAATTTTCTAGGCCATCAAATGACCATTTTTGTTCAACTAAGAAATGATAAAATGTCATAAATTTTCATTGTTTTAATCGTGGGTTACAACACGACAGAAACACTGATACAACCCCTGGTCAAAATGATTTAATAGTAAACCTTACTTTGTAAAAATAAAAAAGTGGTGAATTTAAAAGTATAACCACCCCCAATAATACCATGAGAAACTTGGTTAGATATGTAGGTCACCAAAAGGATACATGAATCTATCTTGGTCGATGTTTGAAATATTCTTACACCCCAATAATAGATTATATCTTTGGTTTAGGAATAACATTTGCTATTTGTTCTTCTCTTCCTTTTGTTTTCTTTCCCCAATTTCTCAAATATCAATAAGTAGGAGGGAAAATCTGATCCACTCCTTGGCGTCATCTTAAAGTATACCAATTTAATTAAAATGAAGCTCCAGAAACCTTAAATAATTAACGACGTAAGTCCAACAATATTTGCTAAAACCTATATTTATTATATTGTAGTCAACTTGTTTATATTTAAAATATTTCCAGTCTCATAAACGGTTTAAAACATATAAATATGGCAGGGATGCATGCACTAGTTGGAAGATGAAACTTGAGTTAGGTGGTTTTGGTGAAGTGGTAGAAGATTTTGATGACGTCTCCGTCTTGAACACCCTCTTAGTTCAAATACCTTAATACAGTTTGAATCTACCGTGGAAATAATATTAACATCCGAATGATTAGGCATAATCTGTTTGGTGTGTAGTGAATTTCTAAAGGCTAGAAACTCTAAATCATACCAAAAAAACTCTCTTCTTTTATTCTTACTTCCCTTTAGTTCGTACTCCCTCGAAGTTGTGTTTTGTAATTTCGTCTTGTAGTATTACACTGTAATGTAATTTCGTTCATAAAATCTAAATATGTAATATATACATACTGGACAGCAAATTTTATTTCATGTAGGAAAAGATATATGCTTTGTGATTGAGTAACCAAAAGGCCCATTAGCTCAGTTGGTTAGAGCGTCGTGCTAATAACGCGAAGGTCGCAGGTTCGAAACCTGCATGGGCCATTTCTTTATTTTAAAACATAAACACCAAAATAAGGTGTTTAGATTTGTGCCAACAGAGAACACTCTCTCCTCTACCTTCTCTTTAGATTTGTCCTATAATGTCCACGATGACAAACATTATGCCGGAGTAAAGGGTCATGTGGACTAGCCCAAAAGTTAATCATCTTCTTGCTTTTTTTTCGTAGACCGCATGAACGTACGTTTCCAAACTTTTGAAAAGACTTGTAAAAGCTTGGAGGCAACAGATTAACTTTTCTTCCTCGAGTTAGATCATAGAACTTTGTTGGGATCCTTTGGTATTGATAATGAATGCAGGATTCGGAAGTATTCAGGTCCTCCAAAATACAAGGGAAGAAGAAAGCAATATTCATTTGCTACTACTCGATAAACCCCAAAAACGTCACTTAAATGGTCTTTATTTGCCATCTACCAAAAAAACAAGTTATGTTGAAAACGGTGCTCCCTAACATCCTATCTCTATATGCCACATCGTTCATGCTTCTATCTCCCATATTCCCTTGGCAGATGCATACTCTTATTCTGGTGGGACAACACATCATACTAAGAAAAGTTTATTGCGTTGCTATTTATGACAAACTCGCTCAGTTTCATAGAATAAGGATTTGGCTTGTGATAATGTTGAGAAAGTTCAATATAGCTGGAGATTAACCTCTCTTTTTTTTGACAAATATAGTGAACCTGTCTTTTGTAGAGTGTAGTTACCTTGCAACCTAACCTTTCTCATGATCCATCACATATACAGGGACTAATAATAATGGCATGGACTATGCTGAGTTCTCAGATTATTTTTTATGATTTTAATTTCTGCTATGAAAAAGACTATACCTTGTACCTTTTATTGGTTCACATGCAATCTAGTAGTTAAACATATAGTAAATATTTTTCATATTTTGGTTGCAAATGAGTTCATAATATGACTCACAATCGTTTGTAGTTTTTTCTTTTACGTTTGTAGTTTTTTTTTTTTTAACACAAATTACGTTTGTAGTTTAAAATCTCAAATTTTGGAAGCGTCAAAACGTAAACTTCAGTGACTTAAATGGGTGGTCTTGTGAGACCCGCATGAATATTACAAAAATAAATATAATTAAGATACATTTAATCCGGCTGGTTCTGTTAATCTTATCTAACTACTCTACATGACCCGATCATAATCGACTTGACGTTTATGAACTTATTATAAAGCGAAATGACAATCTCTCTTCGCGCTTAGCATACATGTTACATCTCAACTAATAGAGTTATAATTGGTTTTTGTTAGAAGGTTAGGAACACACTTTACAAAATCTTTTGAATTAAAAAAAAATACTAAGTGAAGAGAATTCTGAACCAATAAAAAAGATATTCAATTATTGCACTTTTTGGATACCATGATATAGATGAAAAAAATACAAAATGGCCGTGAAATCTAATCGAAAGGTATGATGATACAGCAGATATTTTTTTTGTCATCTTATCTAAGATATCAACCAAATCATGAAAAAGGCTTAAAAGAAGTATATATATGCACAAAATACAATAACATATACAATAATTTCACATGGGAAGTATACCTGACAAAAGAAGGCATTCAAGGCAAAGCAAAAATTTGGTGCTAAGGGACATACCCATTTTCTTATTTAGTAACAAAAAATTAATATGACATTTTTTAATTAAATTTTAAAATCGTTTATCATATTATTTATGTTATACTGGATGTGATTAGATAACACGAAAACGATAAACAAGAAAATAAATAATACAAAGATTTATTGTGGTTTCCTAAATTCAACTACATAAACAGAAAAAGAGAGATATTTTATTATTGAGGACTAAAGTATATTTTCAGATGCAATATAATTTAAAGTTACAAGTATTATTAAATATCTCAACTCGAATACTCTAACGCCAACGATGCAAATATGGACTCAGTATAAATGGTTAAACGAAATGGAAGGCCTATATAAAATAAATACTGCTACCGAATTAGATTGAAGGCATATCAACAAATTCATATACTCATCATTTACTAGCAACAACATATGTAAGTAATAATATTCTAGAACTCATCGATATACATATGAGAGTGAAAGAGAAGCCACTCAAAATTCTCCTTTTTTTTTCTCAACTACTCACCCACCCAAGTGTCAGTATCAAATTCAATAACTTTTTAATATATTTCTAAATTATATTAAGATTTGCCAGAAGGTACTGTAAGCTTAACCTTACTAATGAAATAATGATATCAAACCGGGCTTCGTAGCCTGGTGGTAAAGGAACCTCGGCTGAGGTGCCCGCCACCCGACTTCGAACCCCGGCCACCACATAATTTACATGCGGAGTTGGTGTGGCGCTCCAGACCACTTAGCGTAACCAGGGGCCCTTAAGTGGACGCTTAAAAATCCTGTCATGGCATGGGCTTAGGCCCGGTGGGCTAGTCGATCACGNGCTGAGGTGCCCGCCACCCGACTTCGAACCCCGGCCACCACATAATTTACATGCGGAGTTGGTGTGGCGCTCCAGACCACTTAGCGTAACCAGGGGCCCTTAAGTGGACGCTTAAAAATCCTGTCATGGCATGGGCTTAGGCCCGGTGGGCTAGTCGATCACGCTTTGTGGTCGGATACTGGGTTATCAAAAAAAAAAATAATGATATCATAGATAGAAACAGTACTAACACGTGTAGGTTGAATGATAGTACAAAGACCCACATGAGAAAATACAAATGAGTCTCCCAAAAAACAAGCTTGGAGGCATTAACGATGTGTACAATTCTAATAAATCTCCACTCGTGAGACCCACAATGCGTATTATTATATGTACTATTTTTTTTTTTTAATTATTATTATATGTACTATGAGGATCAAATTTTCATGAAGTCCAAAAACTTAATTACTTAAATGCTTACAAAGAAAGGTCAACGTCTTAGTACAACACCATACGTCCATAACCCGTATGGATGCTTTTTCCCACTTGATTTTGCTTAGTTGTAATTAGGGGTGGGCACGGATCGGATATCCGGGTTTTTAAGGTATTTGTGATTTGCTTCGAATGTTACGGATATCTAGTTTTGGTATTTGCTTTGCTTCGAAAAAATACGGATATCCGGAAAAACGGATATCCGGAAAATAAATAGATATTTGCGAATATTTACGAATATTTACGGATATCTCATCCATTTTGATTAATACAAATAATCTTAAGATTTTGATACAAATTTGTTTTGCAAAAATATTTGTTTGCATCATATAAAAATTAAAAATTAAAAACTAGTGAATTTACATATTTTGTAATTTTTTTAAGTTTAAGTTACAATTATAATAACACAAAATTTAAGAAAAAGAAAATATAATTCTCATATTTTTTTTCTTTCTTTTATGTAATACTTTTATATAAGTAATAATGTGAATAGAATTGTTTAAATCATGTGTTAGAATAATAATTATATAATTTTATACATTTAATATTTTAAATATAATCAAGATATATATATATTTATATATTTCCGGATCGGATCGGATATCCGCTTCCCAAAATTTTAATATTTGTGATTTGCTTCGAATTTAACGGATATTGAATTTTAGTATTTGCTTTGATTCGAATGTTTACGGATATCCGGAATTTTCGGATCGAATCGAAGCGAATAACGAATCGAATCAAATATAACGGATAAAATGCCCAGCCCTAGTTGTAATTTGTAACCAATATGAATTCCTAATGACTGTAAAAAGTGAAAGCCAAGCCATCATATGAACAAGAATTTGAAAGTAATTTACTATCTCTGGTTTGTTCTTTCCTTTAATAAAAAAGTTATAAATGATAATCAATAAATCCGGTTAACTTACCTTGAATTCAAAAGAAAACAACTCTCTCTATTTTTTGGAGAGAGATGAGAACCAAAAGGCTGCAACACTTTTTATGACCAAGACAGGACTGAGAAGCAAGACGGGTATTAAAGGAATGAGGAAGAGGAACAGCTCCTAACCTATTTAAGAATATGGGTTTCAGATTCCTTCTTGTTTGTTGAGTGGGTCTCATCTTATTTCCACCTCAAAAAGCTGAATCTTTTTTTTTATTGTTGTGGGATTGATTGCAGCTCAGTGAATCAACCAAAGAGAGAGAGAGAGAGAGAGAGAGGAGTAAACTAAAAACTAGTAAATGTTATGTCTATCCTATCATGTGGTTATCAGCAATAAAAAGAACATAAGAAACAAAAAAAGGTAAGTGTTAACCAATGAGGATTGTTTAGACAACACTTAATGATAAAGAGCTCAAAACAGATAAGCTCTGGTTTGGTGGGTATTGATGTTTTCTGTCACTTCTACGGTCTGTGTGGCTCGAACCGTATTATGGGAACCATAATACACAATTCCCTATAAATATCTCTATAAAAGAAAGGGGTAAATCGATTTTTTTTTTAAATAGAAAGTGTACCATTTTTTATTTCAAGAACTCACTTATTAACATTTTTCCCCTTCATATCTACTATATCTGAAAATGGCTTGTCTTGTAGTTCTTCAATTGAGAGAAAACAATGGTGTTAGAATTGCCATGTGGTGATACTCACTCCTCGTATTCAATTATATGAGTGATTCAATAGGCTCCAGCTTTTCTTGATTCTGATACACAAGAAAGGGAAAAAAATTCCTACTTAAAAAACAGTATTTATTGATGATTAAGTGCAAAAGCTAAAGACAGCAAGAGACACAAGGGTTATACCAGAGGGAGAGATTAAAACAAGCTGAGGTAAGTGAATCTTTTCAAAAAAAAAGAAGAGGCTAAGTTAAACTTTTTTGTGTTGGCAATGGAGTCTCCAAGAAGAGGAGGTTCTGAGGAGAAGAGTAGTTGTGAATCAGGATGGACTATGTACATAGAAGACACCTTCCATGGAAACCATCACTCTGAGGCTGTCTATGAAGAATATGATGATGATAGTAGTGAAAATGGGAGCGATGACTCGATGACTTCTGATGCATCTTCATGGCCTAGCACTCAGCTTCCAAGGAAGACCAAGAATCATGCAGCTGCAAAGAAGAGTAATGCCAAACAAGCTAATCATCAGACAAAGAACCGAGCTAGCGAAAAATTCACCGAACAAGAAGAAGAATCTGAGTTCAAGGGTAGAACAAGAACCACTGGAGCTAGTCATGTTCGAAGTAGAGGCAAGGTGAGCAAAACCAAATAAGACTTTCTTTTAATACTGGTTTTAATTTCTATTGATATATTAATATGTTTTCTTTGTAATTGTTTTATTTTATTTGAGATGTATGTGTAAATTGCATTGCTTTCTATAACAGGATTATGTTTTTGCTTAAAGCAAATCCCGTTTCCTGTAACTTTATTTGCCCTTGGAGCTATGCTAATAATACCTACCTTTTCTGCACATACACCGTTTTAACACATAAAGGGAACTATTCAATAATCAGCCATTGAAAAGCAAAACATGTATACACATTACTCATCACTCAAACATATTCAGATCCAAATGATTGAGTGTTGGATAAAACAAAGAGGTTGATGAGTGATGACAAAACAGGAGTTTCCAAGGTTTTTACCATATTGTTCAATAGGTGTGGCCCCACAAAGTAGCTATTACACCATAGCTTTGTCCGTTAACAGAGAGTTGCTGCTTTCAATGCCTTCACATGATTCGTTTTTTTTTTCCTTTAAGAACAAATTTCAATCATTCAAGATGTCATTATCAACTTTCACCAAAAAAAAATTTCATAACCAAAAAAATTCATATAATACTAGTATTTCACATCAGGAAAATAGCTAGACAAAAAAAAAAATTCACTTGTGATAACATGATCCATTTTGGAAAATCAAAGCTGGTAACATGTATAATATACAGTTAATTAGTCTAAGAAAATGACTGAAAATATTTTGGCGTATTGTTACCACATTGAATTGGGGAGCAGAAAACAACAAAGATTTTTTAGCTGGCAGCTTGCGAGGAGAGGACCGCCTTCACATAGATGTGATTCTCAGGTCACTTTCGACGTTGTAATCTCAAATCCACCATGCACGTGCAGATGCAATAAACAGGTAGATGATAATGAAACAAGGGTCGTCCAATCTAATTCTATGACCCACAAAAATATGAGAGAATGTGACTCAGTAAATGCACAACACGTTGGACCTGGTCTACTAATTTCAAATTGAGAAAGACCGTATAACAAAAACGATTAAAGGCCAAGAACCAAGCATTTCTGCTAAACAAATGGCATAAGCACACGTTTCCCTTTGTAATCGAAAAGGACATCCAAGGAAAAGATTAAGCATCTACCAATCATTAAGATGAGTTTCAGTAGCATATCTCAATGCTGATTGTTGATATGACTTTACTTATGCTTTCAATAACAATAGTTAGTCATGAATCTCGCCAACCGGGCTAGGTTTTCAGTTTAGTCATTCTTATTGAACCTGGTTCTTGCGGAAGAAGGCCGATCTCGAAGTGCTGTCTTCTTCTCCCATGTTCACTCTTTACCTCCAAAACGGTCCGAAACCAACTTGTTGGAAGTGAGTTAATAAGATATGGTGCTTTTGTCGTAAAAATAAAACTAGATCTTGACCCGCACAACCGTGCGGGTTTTTTTTAATTTATAATTTATAAAAAATTATCAATAAATAATAATATATTTATTTATAAAATTTTGTAAAATACTAAAATAATAGATGTTAAAATATCATTTTTAAACAAAACATGAAAATATAAATTATCATTAACTAATATTTATCTATAGTATATCTAAATAAATGTTAAAATGTATTGTATGCAAATTGTAGAAACTACAACTTTATATTAAAAATATTATATATTTGATTATTTCAGATTATAATTTATGTATTAAACTCCAAAATATATTAANCAATAAGAATATAAATTAAAATATTTAAAACAAATTACTATATATTAATAATGACTAATAAGATACTTAAACAACAAAATTATAAACTTATAATATATATATAGTTAAATGTAAATCATATATTTAAATTTTTACAATACTAACAAAGTTTTATATTTACATAATGAAAAATCTGTGTCGGTCAAATTCCAGTATACAGTTTATTTATTTATTTTTTGGAATATATAGTGTTATCTAGATAAATTTTAATTTCTTAAACAAAAATATTTGTATTTCAAATAAAATATAGAGATATAGGGAGATATTATAATTAAATTATGTAAAATTTGATAATTTTTTAAAGAATGGTCCAAGTAAAACAATTATACATGAAATAACTCATGACTTCATTTTAATAGTATAGATAGATAAATATATAATATATTATTTTGTATATTTGAAATAGAATTTTATTATTTTTCTAACATAATCTATTTAAAATTTGTAAATAAATGTTTTCGAAACTCCATTAAATTATATTATAATTCTCATTAAAATATAACTGAAATCTTTTATATAATTTTAAAATTTCATTTATAAATAAAATAATAATTTTTAATGATATTTTATGATAATTAGAATTTAAATTCAATGATTTAAGGAAATAAAATTTAAAAAGATTACAAAAAGATTTTGTTAGATTTTATTTCATTTCTATTTTAAATAAAAAGATAAAGATACTTAAAGATATTATCATTAGATTTATAACATTTGATAATTTTTCTAAGGAATAGTCCATTTTCTAAAAAATCACACATGAATCAAGGTTGTGACTTCTGTTTTAATTCCATTAAACTAGATTTTGACCCGCGCTTAAAAGCGCGGATATTTTTCATGAATAAAAATTTAGATAATTGGGGTTTTTTTCTTAATTTAAAGAATGTTTTGGTATAAAATCAGTTCACCAAAATTGGTGGTGATGATTGTTTTTCATTAGTTTTTAGTTTCAATTTTAATTTTTAGATTTTGTTTTAGATTTTGATTTTTTGGGTTTTAATTTTTAAGTTTCTATTTTTGATTTCAGCTTTTGGTTTGAGTTTTTAATTTTTAGATCCGCTGAGTTAGTTTGAACTGATATTACCCTAACTTTTTATGATTAAAAATTTATATAATTGGGGTTTTGTCTTAATTTAAAGAATGTTTTGGTATAAAATCAGTTCACCAAAATTTGTGGTGATGATTGTTTTTCATTAGTTTTTAGTTTCAATTTTTACTTTTAGATTTTGTTTTAGATTTTGATTTTTTGGGTTTTAATTTTTAAGTTTCTATTTTTGATTTCAGCTTTTGGTTTGAGTTATTAATTTTTAGATCCGCTGAGTTAGTTCGAACTGATATTACCAACAAACAAATCTCAATTAATCGAACATGTAATTTAAAACTGAAAAGATGACAAAATAATTTTCTAAGAATTTTGAAATAGTTTACTTTGTAATAAAAAAGCAAAAAATATTATTCAAGCGCATAAATTTTTTATGATTAAAAATTTATGTAATTGGGTTTTATCTTAATTTAAAGAACATTTTGAGATAAAATCCGTTCAGCAAAATTTGTTGTGATAGTTGTTTTTCATTAATTTTTAGTTTCAGTTTTTATTTTTAGATTTTGTTTTAAATTTTTGGTTTTTGGTTTTTAGTTTTTAAGTTTCTATTTTTGATTTTCAGCTTTTGGTTTGGGTTTTTAATTTTTAGACCTGCTAAGTTAGTTTGAACTGATATTACCAACAAACAAATCTCAATTAATCGAACATGTAATTTAAAACTGAAAAGATGACAAAATAATTTTCTAAAATTTTTAAAATATTTTATTTTGTAATAAAAAAGCAAAAAATATAACCTGCGCTTTTCAGCTTTTGGTTTTGGATTTTAGTTTTTAGATTTGGTTTTTGGTTTTGCTTTACATTTTTTTTTTAAATCTGTAAATTATTTAAGAAAAATAAAACAATAAATTATTTAAAAGTTACCATTAAAATTTATCAAGATAGAGTGATTGTTATTTAAAATAAAAAAATATTAACATGTTTTAAAGTACATGATTTAAATAAGTGATTAATAATAGATAATTTTGTTTTGTTGAAAATATTAAATATTTTGGGCAAAAAATAATAACATGTTTTAAAATGCATGATTCAAATAAGTGATTAATAATATATAATTTTGTTTTGTTGAAAATATTAAATATTTTTGGGCCTGAAAATAGTAATTGATTTTTGTTCCATTAAGGTTGAAAGTTTATTTAATGTTTTTTGGAGTTTTTCTTTAATACTAAGCCCAAAACCAAACAATTAAATGTTATAAAAACAATAATAAGCCCAAAACTCTATTCCATAAATAACCGCCGGTTTAATTTAAGTAATGCGGTTCAATCAATTATATAACTTGTATTATTTGTAACACTCTAGAAATGGTCCAAATTTAAATGACAACTTGTATAAGTAGATAAAAAGAATGACTCTATTTTAATAGAATAGATTATATTATAATTCTCATTAAAATATAACTGAAATCTGTTATATAATTTTAAAATTTCATTTATAAATAAAATAATAATTTTTAATGATATTTTATGATAACTAGAATTTAAATTCAATGATTTAAGGAAATAAAATTTAAAAAGATTACAAAAAGATTTTGTTAGATTTATTTCATTTCTATTTTAAATAAAAAGATAAAGATACTTAAAGATATTATCATTAGATTTATAACATTTGATAATTTTTCTAAGGAATAGTCCATTTTCTAAAAAATCACACATGAATCAAGGTTGTGACTTCTGTTTTAATATATACTAGATTTCGACCGGCACAACCGTGCGGGTATTTTAATACGAAAATATTTGAAATTATATAATAAAATTTATCAATAAATAAGTATAATTTGATTCTTTATGCTATCCAATTTCATAATCATTTTTATGTGACTTATAATATTATTAATATAAAATTTATAAATTTTTATTTTTGTAATAATATTTTAAAATATTATTATTAAGATTACTGATTTATATATTTTTTTATTTTTAAATTTGAAATCTATGTAAAAATTAATTAAGTTGGACCTACATAATACATAAACAAAATTTTGGGATATTGTTAAAAGTATTTTACATAATTTTAATTTTTTGTTTATAAATTAAAAATAAATTAAAATTTTAATTATATTTTATGATAATTATATTTTATGATAATTAAAATTTTAATTAAATAATTTTTGAAACTATATCTTGAAAAAGATTCTAAAAGATTTTTAAAAGATTTTGTTAGAATTTTCTTAAAACTATTTATTTGTATTTCAAACAAAAATTAAAGATATGAAAAGATATTATAATGTTATGTAAAATTTTATAAAACTCTAAAGATGGTCCAAACTAAAATATCATACATGAAGTGAGTCATGACTTCTCTTTTAATATAATAGAAGATTAAGCAAGTATTATGTTCTGGTAACTAATGTATCTGAAAAATACATTCAGCTATCAATTTAAGAAAATGTATATATATTCATTGATGTTGCCAAATTGGTTAGATACGTAAAATATTTATATACATTTTTGATCAAAAAATATTTTTATAGTTTAATTTCTTATTTATTTATCTCTGTTTCTGCACTATATTCTCCCATCCATAACAACACTAACCAACCTTAGATTTGATATCGAAATAAAAAATATTGTATGTTTGAGAATTTTATAATCATAAGAGAAGAATTATGAAGCCCAGTTAACTGATATAGGTTCCACTGGATACAGGAACAAACTTCTCCTCGCTAACTCAGCCTGAAAGCTGAGAAAATATATTGTCCCAAACATTAATGACTTAAAAAAGTTTTTTAAAAAATGTATATTATAAAATAAATTGAAGACAATTCAATGTGCCAAACTAACATTATCCTTATTTTCCTCCCTTCAAACGTAACATCCAAAACAAGCTCTCATTCCATTTCCCACATTTTTCTGCTCCTTTCACTGCCTAATGACAAAAGCATGACACACCATATTGATTATAAAAAAAGCCACTGATCCTTTTCATCCTACAAACTATCAACACAGAAAAGAGCCAAAATGACTGAACTCAAACATATATGTCTTTGCTTCTCACTAACACTTTTAATACTGAGCTTAGCAGTTGAATCCCTCAACACAGTCTCTCAGAAATGGTCCGTTGGAAATCACTTTGGTTACGATGGAGGCTTTTGTCTTCCCGGTCTCTGCATTAGAGCAGCCGGTGGCAGCAGAGTCAATTTTGGGCGTGGTGGTCGCCGTGGCAGAGTTCGATACAATGGTAGCAGGGACAGGATTGGTTTCAGACAGACCATGTACTGCAAACCGGTGACTTGCTGGTCTGGCACATGTCATGCACTCCATTTGCATTTAGACAAAGGGCTGTATGAATCTCTCGTACACAAGAACGCAGCAAAACAACCATTGAATGTTGTTGATTACAACATCCCGGAGACGTTTAAACACAATAATGTCAACAATAATTATAAAGTGCAAGAAGCTGCAATGACACCACAATCTAACTAGCGAATGAAGTTTTTAGTCTTTTGCTGTTTAGTTTTATCTTAATAAACATAAATCTCAATAAGACAATAAATCTCATCAGACTGAGATGTTGTTATCATAAGAGCATTGGTGGAATAGCTACTCGTGTAAACATAGAGAAATAATAAAGTAAAATAACGAATATTACGCATCAAGTTTTATTTATTTCAGTAAATCACACGTTACAGTTCGCGAGATATTCTAACTTAAATAGTATTTTTTTTTTTATATAATTCTGATTAGGTACAATTTTTGGTCTATATTTCTCGTACAAGCAGAACTACAGAAGAAGCCTTAGTGCGTGTTTCTCCTCGTGTCCCTCACCATTTTTCAACTCTGGTTGCTGAACATGCAGAATAATAATAACAATAATCAAACGTTGCTCTACTAAAACAATAAATCTTGATTTTCGAATCTCTTAATTCTTTTTAGAAAATGTAAAAATGTATGTATTCACAAAAGAACAGTTTGCAATGACTACAGTAGTTGTTTGAGAGAGCTATTACAATACTTAAACTCTAACGAGTTTAAAACTTTTAATTACTTGTTTGTATTCTCTCCTTTTCAGTTAAGTTGTTATTTTGGATTTTTGTTCACATATTAAAAAAACATTCGATTTTTCATATTTTTAAAACAAATATACAATTATCTATATACTTAATCACCTCTCAATTAATAAAAAAAAATATAAAAAATTAATAAATATGAATTGAAATTATAACTTGTTTTAAAACAAAATTGTTCTCCAAGGGAATATTGAATTAACAACGGGAAAAACATGGAACATCTTTAGTGCACAAAAAAATAAAAAAATAAACATCTCTTACGAATACTTAACTCGGGCGAGAAGTTAAAAGGGAGGGGTCAGAAGGAGTTTCTCTGACATGGTGGATGAAAACAACTGAGCAGAGAACAGAGGCGATGATAGCAAAGATACCAAATCCTATCATCAGAGAGAAACCCGCTACGACCAGATCCATCGCTGTCTGAATGCTAATTATCCCCATCAAGTTCAGACTTTGAGTTGAGAATAGTTTAGTTACAACTTTTGAAATGGTATGGATCTTGAAAAAAGGAACAAGAAGAAGAAGAGAGGGTTGAAACTTCAAACAGAATGCATCGCGTTGCCTTGGGAACGGTGACACTCGCATTTGCCACGTTACGTGATAACCTCGAGCTCACGACACCTCAACAATATATTCAATTAAAGTAGAGCATAACAAATGCATTCATCCAATAAGATCTAAAATGTGCTAAAGCGAAAAAATACAAGAAAAGAATAATATAAAATAGATGAAATAAAAGTTGGATAAAGATGAAAAAAAAAACAGAATAGCTAAAAGAGAAGCACTAGTCACATTATTATTATTAGTTTTTTTAATAGAAATATTTGATTTTAAATATTATTTTATTGATATTTTCAAACATTTAAAAAACTTCACCAAAATTTAAAAAATTATTCAAAAATTATTAATAAATTTTTGTTTTCGTATCTTTCTAAAAAAATTTTAATACTGTTTTATGTTGAGAAGTTTAGAATAAAATATCGGAGATGGCACAAGACACAAGAAATAACATAGTTTGGGACAATATGGTTGTTCATATCTATATCTTTCAAGACAAATTACTTATTCATCTACCATAATAGTGAAATTAATAAAAAAGTACGATAAACACAACAAAAGAGAATCACAGAAGACATTTTTCCTTGAGACTGAGAACAATGTCTCTAAGTAGGGGTGGGCACAATTACTTGCTACTCGGCTTGTACTCGCTACTTGATTCGTACTTGACTCTTAAAGTCGAGTACTCGTTTTGTTCAAGTCGAGTTTCAAGTCTTTAATTTCAACTACTTGCAAGTACAAGACAAGTACCAAGTACTAAAATGAAAATAACTACTTGGCGTTGTTGGCTTGTTACTCGTGACTTATTACTTGATTTATTACCCGTTTTTGACTTTTAGACAAAAAAAATCTCTAAATTATAATCAAATTACTTGTTTATAAAATAAATAAACTAAAGTGATATATTACAGAGAATATTTTAGAGTTCTATTTTAATTTTATATTTATCATATATCGATTTAAAGCATATGAAAAGTAAATAAAGATTTTTCTTTAAAAATTGTTTCGATTATAGTTATAATTAAATTTTTCTTAAAATCATATTCAAGATTTAAGTAGCTAAAATTAATAAATAATTATATAATAATTTATAAAGTAGTTTAGAAGCAACAAGTAGTAAAACGAAACAAGTACTTGCAAGTATACTATTTTTTAGCAAGTACTTGAAAGTGCAAGTACTCGTTTTTAATAAACCAAATACAAGTCCAAATTTTTATTACTCGAACAAGTCAAGTCAAGTACCAAGTACGCCAAAAATGACAAGTACTTGGCTTGCGCCCACCCCTATCTCTAAGGCTTGTTTCTGTAGGAGTGAACTCAATTCCCAAACTCCTCACTTTCTCAAGAGACACCTTGTATGACACTAAATCAAGATGAGTGTCTTCATTGTTCCTAAAAAAAACAAATCAAAAGAAATATGTTAATTGTTGATTTATATAATTTTAAAACATAATTGTAACTTATCATAAAAGCAAAGAAAACTCACTCATCATCCGCGATGCACAAATCAGGATAAAACTCAAAAGATGCACAAAAGATTCTTACCCTTTGTAAGTTCCACAACCACGGTTACAGAGATATTAAGAGTTGGCTGCAAGATAGGTCCAATTACAAGTCCTGGATTCATGACGATTAAATCCATCTCATTGGCCTTGGCAAACTTCCATGCTTCATCTTCGGCCAACGTCTTCGAGAGTGCATACCAATTCTGAAAAAGAAAATTAAAGTAAAAAATAATGAATCCATGACTAATATTGAAAGCAGAAACTTACGAGAAACAGTTAAAGCCGTTACTTGGGTTACAACCTGTTGATGTGGATAACCTAGAAAATACCTCTGGTGCAAAAGCCTCGATGATGCAGCAAGAAGTGAAGAGCAGATAGAAGGCAAAGAGGACAAGGAAGAGGAAACCAAAGTATCCCAAATGATTCGATCCGATAAAACCGGGTCCACTTCCGGACCCTGAAAGGTGGCTTCCGAGAAGGGAGAGGTCAAGTTACAGACACAAGAGAAAGGACAAGAGAGCAGCTCAAATCCGTGGCTCGCAAGGTGCAGTGACTAAGCAAGAAGCGGCTCATTCAACTTCAAAATCAAACCAAGCGACCACTAAGAGGGCAGCCCGCAAAAAGAAGTCTAGTAGATGAACGAAACCTTTATAGAGTATTTTCTTTCATTCTTTTTTTTTCTTTTATCAAGTTTTGGTTTTCTTCGACCAATTTAAGACATTTGTATTACCTGATTTTATGACAAATCAAATATTCAAATGATATTATGAGATTTCTAAAACTCATCTAAAAGAACTCGATATTACGTCCAATATTATGTTTTTTTTTTTTTAAATACAGTTTTAATTAGAAGTCGTTTCTACAAAAATCTGTAAAGTTAAGTGTAAAAAGAGGTTATATTTATCTTAAACAACATGGATATATAAATACTATTAAATTTCATTTATAGTATCGCAATAAAAATAACTTTGATGAAATGTTCTAAAAATGGGTCTTACAAATAAAAGAAATAAAGAAATAAAGTATTTTAATAAATTAGTTATCTTATTTTTTAAGAATATCATCCAAAATATGGGGTTCTCAACATGTTGTTTTATATCGTTATAGATTACTAGTTATATTTATTATTTATCTTTTAAATTAAATTAATTATTGAATTATTTATCTTAAACAATTTGTGACTGTTAGATCCGTCCTAGATTAGTAATTCAATATAACAGTTGCAACAATAGAAGTCAATAGATATTTGACTAAAAAGGTAAAAATCTTATCCATGATATTTGACTAAAAAGGTAAAAATCTTATCCATGATATTTGGTCAATAATAGCAAACACTCAACATGGCAAATACAAAGAACAAAGGTGGCAACACACAACCTGTGTATCCACCCACACCTTCTTTCTATTTTTAACTAACTAAGAGATAAAACAGAACAAAATAGTGGAATTAAGTTGTATAAATGAATCGAGAGAAACCAGCTTTTATCATTGCAAGTTACATATCTAACAACGTTGGTGTTGACATTGTGCCTGAGAGTATCTTTTGTGTGTCACCTTTTTCTCTCCCTCTCTTGGTTTCAGTTCATGTTTGGTAGGCCTTGTTGTTTATACCCAAGAGAAGAAATAATATGGGGGAAAATCAATTGTCCACAAACGAGGCTGCATCTGCAAGGCAGAAGAAAGTGGACGAGTGGTTGCCAATAACGTCTTCCAGAAACGCTAAATGGTGGTACTCCGCATTTCACAATGTCACAGCCATGGTCGGTGCTGGTGTTCTCAGCTTGCCCTATGCCATGTCCAACCTAGGATGGTATTATACCAAACTATCTCAACTTAATTATTTATAAAGATCTCAGAGTGAAATATCTAGTTGTATACCTTATTAATTTCAAGCACACTTGCAAAATATTTTTAATGCCTATACAAGTTAGAGCCTGAAAATATAATAAAAATGTTAAGTCAAACATTTTTAAGAAAGTTTACATATCTTTAACAACAAATTTACACATGATCTGCAAAAGTTTGAGACTGACCACTAATATTTTAATTACTGATTGGTTTATAAATTTGATGGCAGGGGACCTGGAGTGAC